AGCTACAATTATTCACCATCATCTTGATGCCATTTCGTCTGATAATTTCTGAACTCCTTTTTTACTATCAATAACCAGTATCTTCTACAAAGTTTCATTATTGATCATATGATATGATAGTTGTATTCCTAAATTTCTCAACTTCGTCGACTCATTAATTTGTTTCAAACTATCTAAATTCTATTTAAGTTTTCAATGTCATTAAATCCAATCACTAAATGTTATATATATATATATATATATATATATATATATATATATATATATATATATATATATACCTTTTATCATAAGCTGTCATATGGCCTATTGGCTACTGTTAATCGATTTACCATTCTTAATTTATTCCTTGTCTATTAGTTAAAATCTCACACTCACAGCCACTTTTGGCTTGATCTTGTATAATTATTATTTTTCGTTTTATGATGAGATGCTATCTGGTTTGCTTGTATATAAACCACATATGTCTAAATTATACGATTCATGTAGTAAAGGGTGATATTGCATTATTCTGAATGCAACAGACAAAGTCAAGCGAGAAGAGATCAATAAGGATTCAGAGTTGGCGTAAGGCTGGTAATACTGTTCGACATGTTATTGGTTTAGCACATGAGCAAGGTCATATAAGTTGGTATTCTGATTGGCGATAACTGACAGGGGCAAAAGTTATAACGAAATCAAATCACTTAAATTTTGGTATTAATAAAAAATTAACCTTCTGAGCTTGTAATTAGTTCACTTTTTGTCAAATCAATATGCACATATCTACAAATATTTTCTTCGATGTTTGTCTGTTTACTCAGATAAACTTTAAATCCGTAGGAATTCCTAGTAAAATGGTATAGGATTTGTAGAAAGTGCTTACACAAGATCAATACAGATTAAGCGATTGAATTTGTAATCCTTAACTTCATAATCATAATAATATTGTTATAACTTGTGACCGCCAATTAGAGAGCAGCGACTTATCGATCGGATCAGTGACGCGTAAACACATGCGAGCAGTCTATAGTCCTGATTGGACCTGCTTCTAGCCTAGCCCAGCCAGTTAAGTACAGAACACAAGTCTCAGCCTCTGCGATATGAATCGTTTATTTCAAACATACTCTGTTTATATACCAATCAAGCAGACCACATTGTACCATAAAATAGAAACTAACATTTGTACAATATTTGGTCAACAGGAAAATAACACGTGAAATAAATATTGACCAATAGGAAAATGATACCATTTCAAGTCCAAGGATACCATTAGACTTAACAGGATAATTTTTTTGGGATATTTTTCTGAATATCCCAACAAATATAAACAACAATTAATACAGTAATGATTTAAGGCATAATGTTGTTTAACGATTTCAGTAAGATTGTATCAGTTAAGATTTTAATGGACATGTAAAGGTCTCGTTTACATTGTTATATTTCTCAGCATCATCTCCCCCCCCCCGAAAAATGTTTTGGTACAGTTGCACTCGTTCATTCTTAATCACTCGGAATGGGCGATGTTGACTAATAACTTTAATTAATGCAATGTATTGAGTTCTTTTGTGAATTACCATTTGTAACATTTCACTTTTATCCTATTGTATACAATATTGTCACTTCTTTTTTATGTCAAATGATGAAAAGTTTGTTTTTATTAATAATTAGTAAATACCAACTTACTTCCAAGGTAGTTGTCACCACGAACTAAGATATCAACTAACAACACAAGTAAATAACAAAGAGAGAGCAGTAAAATACCTGATTTACCTCAAGTGTGAAACTTCTGAACGTTGTTCAACCACAACTCTCCTATGCAAATGCATGATATCAAACACATGACCTTCAAATCTTACACCAAGTAACATTACACAAATTTTCTGCAAGCCAACTGAAATACACATACAAGTGAAATTTGTTTTAGATAATTCATAACCAATATACCAGGTGTACTACACCTATTTTCCCAACAATTTCATCCTTAACTGTTCTTTATTAAGTGCATCATGTATTATATATAGTGGTTGCAGCTAGTCAGCAGAAAACTGTAAACCGAGGTTTTATGGTAGTTAGCACTCGTCAGTATGGGGTACCTGTAAACGTAACGAAACCCTTACTCTTCCTGTGGGATTCAAACCCGTATCATCTAACTGCACAGTTTGAAACGTCCGAATCCCACAGAGAGTATCAGTTTCCTTCATTATTGTAGGTATACCTTGCTGATGGGTGCTAACTAGCACGAAACCTAGATTCAGAGTTTTCTGTTGACTACCTTCAACCATGTAGTGTCTCACCATAGTACACCTGATTCCAAGCTACTTATACTAGTGACCACATTACAACTTAATTGATAGAGTTCTATTAACACCAAAGGACTAGACAAGCATGACACTACCCAGTGATTAATCAGTTGTCTAATATAAACTATTCTTCATATATATTATTGAGTCTATTTTTATGCAATAATAACGAAGTTGTTTTATGATCTCTCTCTCTCTCT